GTAAAATTAGAGGCCTTTTAACCCAGCAGGCTCCCGTTAATTCTCCCCCTCTCCATTTTGTGAAAGGCTGAGATTGATGAAACACCATTAGAGAGATGAACTTGATGACAAAGGGTTTCAGTGAGCTCCAGGAATTAAGCAGCCGAAGGCAACAGACACCAGTATGGAAACTTCCCAGCGGTAGATCCACGCTGAGTAAATCGGCTCAAGCAGTCAGACGCTACTATGAGAACCAAGTACTTAATATGCTGCTATTTTAATCACATTTTAGACATGATAAAATGGGATTTGATTTGATTTGGGAAGCAAAGGGTTACAAGGAGCTGCCTTGCTAACACTATACACCTTCTGAGAAGTACTTAGCACCTTGCGGATTGGCATTTTGGGCAGCAACTTCTTTCAGGTTTGAGCTCCAAAGAAAGGAAAATCCCATTAAGTAGAATAGATTCTGCACACCACAGGAGCCGATCATATGCCATTTGCTTACCCACAAAATACTGGGGCCTCTCAAGGCAAGTGCAGCAAAGGCCAACTGTAATATGCAGATAATGGCAAGAAGTGGATTTACATCCCTCCTATGCAATTGCAATGCTTTGTTTATCAGCAAAATCATAATCCCACCCCCAGGATTAATGCTGGCAGTTCCAAAAGGGGTTAGGCACACAGTTGCAATGGGATTTGGGCATTTAACTCCCTTGAAAAATCTTAGCTGAGAGAAAGTGGGAGAAAGGAATTTTAGCATTTGATGAAGGCTTTCTTCATGAGGGTCTGATCCTGCAGTGAACTCAGTGCCTCCTGTGACATGCTGAGCCCCCTCTATTCCCTCCAACTACAGAATGGAGTTGAGGATACTCAGCACTTTGCAGATCAGGCCCTGACCTTGAGCAGCCTATCACTGCTGGTTGTCACATCACAGAATGGATTTACACCTACCTTCCTGCCAACCTACAGTTAAAAAGCACTTTTTGAATAAGACACATCCAGTTAATGGTCTAATTTCCTCCTCTTTGCCAGGCTGATAGCAAACCTGCTGGCATCTTTGCGTCAGAGTATGAGCCCCAGGTGGAGGAATTACAGAGATCTTTTCTAATGCGCCCTGGATGTCCTAGATTTAGTAACAGAGCAACTTCAACATCCCATCTTGGTAAGGCTCACAAGAGAGATCAGCAAACCCCCACTACTCTTTCCTGTGATATATTAAGCTATTTCTCCCACACGATAGCCCTTATTTCCCCAGAACTCCAGTTTAAGTCCTACAAATTGTTTCCCCATTCATTCATTCATCAAATTGCAGGTAGCCAGAGTACTGATGATTCCCTCAGCACAACTTTAACATGGAACACGGATCTTGCACTTGACTAGTATGTATTTGCTAGTAGGGGCTTTCGACAGTGTCATTTATTTAACATTTCCTCAATGCTACCACAAAGTTAAAAAAGAAAAGCCTAGCTGGTAGCAAGTGAAAAACCCAAAGGCAAGTGTACATGATCCAAGAAAGAGGAGGCCAAGACCACCCAAACAAAAAAAATCCTGCCTTCAGAGGGCCTCCAGACCACCTCCAGCCATCCAGAGTTCCAGCTTCTCCTATTGTTCTAGGAGGCAGGCAAGCTGTCTCCCTTTCCCCTAGACAGCAGGTCAGGGAAGGAACAATTCAAGTTCATAAGGCTCTTACCTCCAAGGCTTGAGTCAGCGTAACCAAGCATATAATCAGAAAACAAAGTCTCTTAGCCTAGGTCAGGCTGGTGACCGATGGGAGGAGTGGGCCACTGTCACCAATACCACTTCTGGTTCCTTTCTCTCTCACTCCGCTGCCTTTCCCTGTTTATATATAGCCCCAAGGCAGGGCAGGGTGCTTCTTGATTGCACCCAGGCTGTTTAGGCTGTAAACTCCACACGTCTCTTGAAGGGGTAGTCGCAGAGTAGGGTAGTCCTACCGAGAGGAGTTTTTCCCTATGTACTGAACACCAACCCCATTTTTCAGGGTAAGGAACCTTTGGGCTTATGCTGGGCTGTGACAAGTTTCATTCTGAACGGAGTTTCAGAACTAGTTTCTGGATGCTCTGGTGGTCCCTTTTAGCCTGCTCTCTGACTGAAGACAGATTTTTCCTTATTCAGAAGGGCGAGGTGACTCAGATCTCAGCCCCTTTCATTCTATGATAAGTTTGTGTTACCATGACCAGGTAAATCTACCTGGATATTAAAAGTGATAGGTTCCTCACATACCTGAACTAGGAATTCAGTATAAATGTATAATATTTAAATCAGTCCATCTTATTTTGCATAAAACCCACATTCTCTTCACTTCTCTGAAACTGGTAAGAGTTTTAACCCTTTATTGTGACAGAAGGTATAAGCCAGAGTGCTGAGAATCTGGAATACGTCAAATAGATATTTTTCTTGCCAAAAACAAAAAATAAAAACCACTTAGAAGTAACTAGGATTTTTTTTCCAACACAGAAAGTACTTTATCACACAGCCCTGATTTGTCCTTTAATTTGAGTACCATCAGTCTGTCCTCCCAACTCAACTTTGAAGAGTGGAATGCTGCCTTTCAGAACACATATCCATCAGAATCGGCCAAAGGTAAGGGTAAAGGGATGACTGTGAAGACTGTATGCATGTGTGTTTTCCCAGAAGGGTGAAAATCCGCTGTGAAATCAGTGCTTTTGCAAGGCAGCGCATTACGTTGCTATAAGAAAAACCACTGGGCTTGCCTTGGTTGCTCTTTTTAACCCGTTGGTGGCATGACATGATCTCCAAGCTATATACTCCATAGAGCAACCTGCACCGTGTGGTAGAAGTGCTGCCTCTAGTCCTTCACGGTCCCTGTTCCAGTCTAGGTGGGGTTATATGCAGGACACAGGGCACATACAAGTCCAGTCACAAGTTGGAGGATTTTGCTGATTAAGGTTGAAGCCAGCAGGCAGTTTAAACAAGACACAACTCCCTTTTGAAGCCTACCCATTGCAGGCTGGGTCACTGTTTTTAATTCAATATGGTAAATAATCTTTTCTGAGGAGTTTTTTAAATGGTACAGTAAGTGGAACCCAAAAAGTTGAGGCTAGTAATAGAGATTTGTTGCCAGAAAAAATAAGTTTGACAGAACAAATATGTTTTTCCAGGTGATATTTAGATAAATGTTCTTTCCACTATTTCACACCTTCTCCCCCCCCCCCCCACCAGCTGGCCAGCTCCTACTCAGTAAAAGTTTCAGTGGTCTCTCTAAATGGAAGAGTTTCACAGAAGGAATCGTTCCAGCTGAACAACAAAGAGGACCTATCGAGAGTAAAATCCCATGGTACATTGATGTAATCCGTGAGAAGGTAAGAAAATGTTGCTATAATACTTCAAAAAGAAGAACAGACCACGCACATAGTTAATTGCAAAGTGATCCAGCTAGAAAATTAACTTTCTAAGGGTGTGATGTAAATTAAGTTAATAATAGAATTGTATTTGGATAAATGGATTAATCAAAGGATCTCAAAGTTCTTTTTCAAAACAACGTGAAGTGCAGGAAAGAAGGGAAAGCACATAGAGAGGAGAATGGCAGTAAGTCCATGTCAAAATAAGAAAGAGAACCTAGGAGTCCTGGGTCCTAGTCCCCTAGACTAGATGCCATTAAATTCCCTACAGATGGGCAGGTATTGAAATACAGTACATCATCCACTTGTTTGCCACTCATCTATCTTTTTCCTGCCCACCAATATCCCATCAAACCTCAGATGCATTGAGTGAACACTATGCCTGTTTCTGTTCCCAGGAACGATGCTTGTTGATGATGGGAGGAGAGATTAATCGTCTTTCAAGATGTGAAGCGGAATGTGCAAGGAAGGATGATGTAATCTCTATCCTTAGGGAGGAGATGGAGAATCTGAAGAAGCATCTGGAGCTGCTCAGGAGGGAAAGTGTCATCACAGAGGAGGTTACTTGCATTCATTTTCTCTGTATGAAATGAAGCACGCATTTAAGATAGCCGTTTTGTCTCTCACTATGAAGTCTATCAGCAGTGGCCATCGCTAGTGGAAAAGCTGATGATGATGATCCTTGTGGTCCCTTCTGAACCTATGATTCTATGATGTAAGCAGATAGGGGATTTCCCCAAACAGGGGCACACACAAAAAAACAACCAAACTGAGGAAGTGAGGTTCAAAATAAAAGCAATTTAAGGCCCTCCTGTGCCCTGAATTCACAAGTAGCACAGTGAGAGGGAAAAGCATTCTGGGTAATTATATGCAAGTGAGACCCCTCCAGCAGTCCCACTTTATGATCCTCATAAGGGATATAACAAAGCTACTGAATGTGACTGTGCCAGTTGGAGGCAATGTGAAGCAGAATGGAATGCTGAGAGTGCTCATTTGTGCATCATGTTCTAAACACGTTATCTTCCCCAAAACCATTGTGGAGGCCTAGCACTAAGAATTCACTGACAAGGTGAGGTGTATTTGTGGTTACTGCACCAAGCTCTTTCCTTTATGTGCTGCAAGCTAGGAGTGTGGAAAGCAGCTTCCTAGGTAGTTTTCCTCATACTAAATTTTCCCTTGCAGAAAAATACAGCCTCAGAACCTGTAGCTGACGACAGCAAGACAAAGATGCCTGGGCTAAGCAGCTCAGTGCAGGATGGCTTAGGACAAAGTGGCACTAAAGAAGATTTGAGAGAGGAGGTGGCATGCTTAAAATTAAAACTAAGCTACTCTGATAAAATTCTGGACTCTAAGATTGCTAGCCTGTCTGAGTCCCTGATGAAAGACCAGGAGGAACTATGGCAACTGGAAAAGGAGGTGAAAGAGGATCTGCACTAGTTCAGATATGGCAAAAGAAACTGACAGTAGACTGAGAGGAGTCTATGCTATTATGTGCTTTTCACACTGCTGCTAAAGGTGTCCTTTAGTGACTGCATCCTCTAGATCAGCATTTCTCAAATGCGACCACCAGGGGCTTTTCTTGCAGCCACAATCTCTTGGGCAGTGATTCGGGGGGGGAGGGGGCAGCAAGGAGGGGTTGGGTCCTGACCCCCTCTTGAACCACAAACATCGGAGGAACAGACAGCCGGTGTGAGTTCCCCACCTTCCCGGGGGCGGTGGGGCTCAGGCTTCCAGCTTCAGCCCTGGTGTGGTGGGCGGCAGGCTCTGGCCACAGGCTCTGACTGTGGGGCATTGGGCTCTCGCTGCACAGCGGCGGACTCCGGCAGCTGGGCTTCAGACTCACACCCCCCCTTTTCGCCCCTGGCCCCCACTGCCTCCCTACCCACCTCCCCATCCAAGGCTTAATTTGTCCCCCCAGCTTGCCAAGGCTGAGTAAGTCTGCTGTGAAAGGTGATAGTGCATGTTTGTTAATATCACTTTTCACTGCCTCCCAGCTAGCTAACAAGTCTCTGCTGTGAAAAAGTGATATTAACAAACATACAAATATCACTTTTCACAGAAGGGGACTTACTAGCTAGCAAGCCTAAAAACAAACAAACCTGCAACCAAAAAAGCAAAATAAACAACAACAACAAAGACAGGAACAGGCAAAGCACCTTATTTGTGTTTTTATTCTGTTTAGGTCCAGTAAAGAATAGACACAACTGTATGTTATTATTATTATTGAGTCTGCAAAAACACCCCTACAAAAATAAATTACACTGATTGGACTTGTATATGTGCATATGTGTTTGTTTCTCCTAAAGTTAATTAAGTATTTTAGGAAAAATTGTCAAAGCAGCCACCACCAAGAGACTTGGTGGCCACATTCTGAGGCCTCCAAAAAATTTGTTGCAAGAAACCCTGCTCTAGATTTCCCTCTCTCGCCCATCCCCTTTGGGTCTCTGATTTGCAGACATAGGAAAGTGTAAACAGAAAACCAAAGCATTTAGAAACATCATTATAAGGAATAACTTAGGTTAACATCTCTGGGCCAAATTCTGCTTTCAGTTATATCAGTGTAAATGAAGGTACATCTACAACAAGATTCATATAATTTAATCCCCCTTCCCAGGTCCACTGCTGTGAAGATACCAGGGAAATTGTCTAACCACAGAAGCTAAAGAGATCAGTGTGGACAGATCCTAAAATAAATTAATCCTCCTAATTGTGCAGAGGGGGCCTATAAACAAACAAACCACACAGATCCAAAAAGGTGCTCCAATATAGCATATTTCAAATGCTCATATGTAAAAGTGCCAAATATTCAGAATCTTCTTCCCTTGTAGTATCTTGGAGATATTACCTGGCTTTGGGTCAAGTTCACGGTCAGTGCATTTGGTGTCTGTTTACATTTGGACCAAATCATGAACTTCCAGAAATCTTGCTCCAGGTCTGCATGGGGTTATGGGTTGTGCCTCCAGGAGCATGAGACCCATGATTGTATGGTTTTTTAATATCTAGACCAGGGGTGGGCAAACTACGGCCTGCGGGCCGGATCCGGCCCCTCAGGGCTTTGGATCCAGCCCATGGGATTGCCCCCATGGAGCCGCGGGCCCCGCACTGCTCTCAAGTGGCTGGCACCACTTCCCTGCGGCCCCCGGGTCGGGGGGCAGAGGGCTTTGTGCGTTGCCCTTGCCTCCAGGCACTGCTCCCCGCAGCTTCCATTGGCCGGGAACGGGGAACCACGGCCAATGGGAACTTCGGGGGAGTTACCTGGAGGCGCGGCAGGGGCAGCGCACGCGGAGCCCTCCGCCCCACCCCCCTCCTCCAGGGACCACAGCACTTCCTGGAACGGCGCGGCCCCGGTGCGCGCCGCTGCCAACCAAGCGGCGCCGGGCCAGAGCCCGAACCCCGCCTGCACCCTGCCCCCCAACTCCCTGCCCTAAGCCACCTGTCTGCACCTCGCACCCCTCTTGCACCCCAACTCCCTGCCCTGAGCCCCTTCGTACACCCCGCACCCCTACCCCTTGCCCGGAGCCTCCTGCTGCACCCCGCACCCCTTCTGCACCCCTGCCCTGAGCCCCCTCCTGCACCCCAACCCCCTTCCCTGAGCCCCCTCTTACACCTTGCACCCCTCCTCTGCCCCAATCCCTTGCCCTGAGCCCGTTCCTGCACACCGCACCCCTCCCACACCCCAACCCCCTGCCCCAGCCCTGCATACAATTTCCCCACCCAGATGTGGCCCTCGGCCCAAAAAGTTTGCCCACCCCGATCTAGACATTGTGAGGTCTCCAGATGCTCCAGTGCTGGACACAATAGATACTTTTAGATAAAGAAGAACAGGAAGCACAGTTTTCCTGCATTTGTACTAGAACTCAAGAGTTTAAAAAGGAACCAGTAATTAAGCTGCAGCAGTTACCGAGTCATTTTCTTAAGCCTGTGTCAATGTTTCACTATACATTATATTATTCCATTTGCAAGGTCTCTGGCTCAGGGTTAGAGAGGTGCCCTAAATGCAACTCCAGAACTAGACTCCCGTCCCTCCAAACGTTCAGCTCCAGAAATGGAGCCTTATATGACTAAAGCCAGTCTCTACCTAAGGCTGCATTTTGCTTCAACTTTCAAAATTCTTCCCGTCCTTTTGTCCTTACAGTATTCAGAAATGCAGCAAAAGGGCTTGAGACAAGAGGACATGGAAAAAGAGCTTCTCAGTGGTACAGAAATTGAAGTGGCTTCTGAAGAGGAGGAGGAGGAGAATGAGGCAGAGGCGGAAGAGAAAGCATCCCTGATCAAGCTCAGAGAATTCCAGCAAATGAACCAAGAACTCTGTAAAGAACTGGAGAAAGCAAAGACGGACTATGACATGGCCACAGGTACCAGGACTGGCATACGGGGAACACAAAAGGGCTAAAGACCAGAGAGTATCTGAAATTTTAGTGGCTAGATCCCAAACTCTTCCCCTATTCTGTGAACAATTCGTATGCTGGTTATGGGGAGCAAGAGGAAGTCATTATTGAGGCTCAGTTCCCTGTCTAGGAAGGATCTACATTAGATCTTCACTGAGAGGCTGCAGCTTCTATTCCCGCTGCAGTTTTAAAGGTAGCTTCCCAACAACAGCAGCTACTTTTGAATTCTTTTCCCTTACCGCCTGCCTGGTAAAGATGCCCATTACCAACCAAGGGCAGATTCTACTTAAAAGTGCTTGGTAAGGTTTGGACTGCTAAACAATGCGGGTGCTAATCAAGAGCAGCTTTTGAACAAAGAGGATCAGCTCTGTATAGCTAGCAGCACCTCTGTGACGTGTTGCTAGCCTGGAGGGAGCTTCTGCATATCAAACCATTCCTAAGTCTTTTGACTCTTGCACAAAATGAATTTGGCTGGTATTAAGAAATGGACACTTCAATTCAGTGATGCGATAAAGTATCATCCAGCTGAAGTGTACTTCTGTAGTGACTGTAGTTCTAAGATAACTTATGTCCACAGCCAGATGATTTTTGGACGATAGAATAAAATGACTGGCCCCTTTTTCATCACCTAGGGGAGGTTTCCCGAGGGCTTTAACAGGGTTCACTTGGTTCAGGACTCTACTCTGATTGTACAGGTGCCATCACTTCCTTGCAAAGGCAGCTGGCTTTCCAGGAGTCACAGCTACGGAGAGCTGAGTCTGAAAAGGAAATGCTACAAAAGGAGCTTCGAGAGCGGGGAAATCAACTGCAAGCCATGTCTGCCAAGGTACAGTCACTCAGAGCACAACACAGACCATTGGCCACCATTGTGTAGTGGGGGGGAAACTGGGAATTTATTCTTTGTGAGACTTGTTTTTATTCTTTTTCAACAAGTCAGGAAATCATGATTCTGTGACCTGTAGTAATGGGGCTGATGTGTTAACTGGAGCCTTTTCTCTCAGTTTTCCAGCCTTCGAGAAGAACGGAAGCGTGAAGAAATGATGGGAACAATAGAGAGAGAAAATTACAAACTCCGACAGGTGACTCATCAATGCAAACTCCAGTTACAGCAGCCAACACTCTAATTCTCCCTGCTGGGCCCCAATTAGGCCTGGGCCTGTATAAATTAAACAAAACAATCCCATTTGGTGAGCACCTTGTGCTCCTTTAGGTCCTTTCCTGCTGTCTCCAAATCCTGCACTGATGTCCTGTGTCTTTCACTCTAGTTACTTTCAACACTAAAGCCATCCATGTCCTCCCTAGTTTTGCAGGGGAGTCTGTCCCATGAAAATCAGAGATGGGATAGCCCTGGCCTATTTTGTTTCTCAATACACTTTATTGCTCAGTTTAATTTTTCTAACGAGCCTGAATTGATGAAGAAGGGAACAAACCTGTTTTAATGGCTCTTAATTAGAATTATTATTAAATACTATAGGTAAACCTGGCGGGGACAAAGTCCCAAACCAGTAACATTACTGGGCACTGACATATACTGCTACCGCTGCCTTCTGGGAAATTTAGGAAGGGTTTGGAATAGCAGGGCAAAATCTCTAGCGAGACATGTTTGAATTAGGCAGCTTTCTCCTCCACTCCTCCTGAACTGTGTTTCTCCTCAGGACATTGTGGAACAAGAATCCAGTCTGGCCGAGAAAAACAAACTGATTGATGATTTGCAGAGCAAGATCAACCAGCTCCAGGCAGAGGTTATGGTAGCCCAGCACCACATGCAGAAGCAGCTGTGTGACCAAAGTGAGACGCAGAGCCAAGTCGAGGCCTTGAAGCACGCTGAGCAGCAGGCCAAAGTTGCACTGGAGTGCATCAGTGCCAGGGTAAAGGTGGCCTCCTTCCTCCTTCACTGGGGGCCTCTCCCCTGAGGGAGCGACCCCAGCTAACGAGAACAAAGGCCCCAGTTTAGTCAGGGCCATCTTTAGACACAATCATTGGGTGGACTGCATGGGGCTCCCTTTGGCATCTCAGCTCCAGCAGCAGGAATGGAGGGGCTGGCAGTTAACAGTCCATTTGTTCCCCAACCTTTCCCTGGCGGTTTGGGCTCCTGCGCTTGCCAGGGGCCTTTGTTTAAGTTATGGGTCTTATGGGATACCAAGAAAAAGAGACCCCGAGGTTTCAGAGCAGAATAGTTACAACGCCAAACTTCTTTCTGAATTTTATCCCACAGCCTCCCAGCCCTTCTGGGGATCCCCCTCTCTCAAATACAGCCACAGGCTAAACAGCCATCATGGGAAGACATTTCTCCATATTTATACTTAAAGGGACATATTCAGACCTGCTGCAAGCAGGTGCGACTCCATCCAACGTCAGGTCAGATTTGCTTAGGTTACTAATTCAGAGACACAAGTTGCCACTAGGTGTCTGTGTGGGGCTTCTGGTGAAGCCATCTGGAATTGCACATACTCAGCCCAGGGCAGAATTTCAGTCCTGCACCTCGCTGTTGGCCTGGGGACATTCAGATACAGGAGAACCTGACAGAAATGCCAGCTGTCATTTCAACCCTCTTGTTGGCATAGCTTAAAAGCAAGCGTTGCTTTAAATTCTCCCTCTACTGAGAGAAGGTCTTTGCTTGTGCCAGACAGCATCCCTCTTTAATTGGCGGAAACCTGGTTAATTCCTGGTTAATTAAACTAAGGTCATTTTTTTTCTCCTTTTTAAAATCAAAGTTTGAAAGATTTCGAAGCAAAATAATTCAAGCCACATACAGCTCTGCAGGCGCCAAATCTCCCCAAGCTGAAATTAGCGATGAGGAGGCACTGGAGGCTATGCAGGTATGTGATTCGGTGTGGAATGATGCTTCTGCTTGGACCCCTGAGCTGGGACCAGAGGAGAGGTGAGAAGGAAAAGCTTTATGATCCTATCACCTCCATGGCTAATGCTGGATTCTCCTGTGAATGTGTCTGATTTCCAGAGAATAATTAGTGAGCGGCTGGATTTTCATCAGATGCTGAAACAGAAGGGTGTGAAGGTCCCGTCTCTCTTCAGCAGTGAGCCAACAAATTTGTCCTCTCCTAATTCTAAGACCACCAAAAAGAGTCCTGTGAAATAGGGTCTTGTACGCTGAGAGATGATTCCTGCAGCTGAGTCACAAAGTCAGAAAGGCGCTTTTTCCTGAGGCTCTTTCCTGGTTGTATTTTGGTTTGTTCTCTGATGTTTTGTTTTTTATTGACAAATTAAACAATTAAATTTGACTTCAACTGCGTTCTGTTAACCCAGCTGATCTCTAATTAGTCTACACTGTTGCCTCATAATTGGAATTGGGGACTGGAATCAGGGCTCAATTTGCCATAAATCTCTTATTCTCTCAGGTTTTCCATCTGTAGAATAATCTCTGCCTCTCATGGGAGTTATGAGAGTTATTGTGAGTTTGCAAAGTGCTTTGGGGGTTCTTGGATAAGAGGAGCTAGAAAATGAAAATGAAAATGATTCCCTCTGTGTTGCATACCACCTGCTTTGGCCAGGTTATCCCATTGCTGCTCATCATGCTCCTTTTAAACGCAGGGTGTAGGCATAATCGTTGGATCACCAAGCTTTTCTGACCTGAAACGAGCAGGCCTTCCAAACTTGCCAGATTCTAGCCATCACATCCAGGTCATCTCTGAGCATATCCTACAACAGGATGGTTCCCAACCACTGCTAGATATCACTAGTGCTGGCAATCTAAGCTTTAGTAATCAGTCTTCCCCTTCCCAATCTTAATGATAAACCACTGGGCCAGGCTCTCATACAATGTCACTGCCAACCTCCCATTCAGCTGTGCACCCTCAAACCCACCATAGAGTTTGGACCTGGATTCTATTCTGGCTCATGCACCCTTATCAGAATTATTCACTGAGTTCCCATTGCAAAATCTTTTTTGTTGGCGATGCGTGAGCCATAGAAAACCAGCTTGATTTTCAGATACCAAGATCAAGTTTGCAGGGCTGGCAATTAGAAAAAAAAAATCTTTTGGATTGCAAAGTGAGCATAACTGAGCAACAAACATGGAACCCCGCTCTGTCATTTTTACAGAGTCACTTTTCAACTGTACCTTATTGCCATTAATAACAGCAAGCTAGAAACCTGCCTTTGTGACCAAAATTTGTAACCAGTTCCATAATCAATGATGATCACCTCCTTGACATGCACACAGTTATTCCTTCTATCTAACAGAACAGATCAAATACCCTAATATCTACTTCCCAGCAGACTTCCCCACATGCCAATTCCGTGCTGTCAGCAGGTAGCTCCAAAGTCAGTTACAAATTGAAATTGCATGTTCGTGTTTTACCCCTAACCAAGAGCCACACTTATGAATTTCCCATTGGACAAAGTTATTCCAAATGCATAAAACTGCCTCCTCATCTGTAAGAGATTTCTGACTGAATTATGTTACAGTAAATAAAAGGTCTGGTTCTCCAGGGCCTGGACCTTGTGACCTCATCTATACCAGTGTAAAGTGGTGATGAAATGCTGCCAAATCAGGATTCTCCACTCACTTGTACCATTTCACTCCTACTTTGCAAAAGGGCACAGGGTGACAGATTCAAACCCAAAGCCCTTAAGAAGGCTAAGGATGCCAACCTTTCTGCTACCGAACAGAACTATAGGTTCGCAACTCAGATGGTTACCTCATGGTTATTTAGAAATGAAATCCATCCCCATGTGGCAGTCCCAGCCCTTTGCCTGGAGTTCTACAACGCTTGCATCCAGAGGTCTATTGCAAAAGTCAACCAGGCTAAAGTACATTTTCCTCTTCAGCTTAGCACAAGGCTGAATCTCCATGACTAACATCTGCCATTGCTGTCTTCAGTCTGATCTTTGCATTTCTCTAGGTGGCATCTTCACACAGCTGAATGTCTACCATTGCAGATGATTAGTGAGGGATGTGCCATTGCTTTTCTGTTCAGTTTTAATCTTTCTAATACAACCAAACACAAAACCAACTTCCTTTTTGCATTTCCCTGTGAACTGACTACTGATGAAAGATGCTGGACTAAGGGTCCTACATAAGCAAGCTCCGTAGAACCCTGACATTGGGCCTCCACTCCAGCCTGGAGTGGACCATCTCTGGGAGCAAGACAGGAGTTAATTGCCCTCTCTGCTGAGATGGATGATCTAGCTGCCAGTTGTAAAGGTGATTTTGGGATGCCGACACCTGCCCACTCAGTACTGAACTGGGGCTACTGCCTCATTTCAGACAGGACACCAGACAGCCTTCAGTTGGAAACAACAGACCAGAGCTGCATTGCAGCAAGCAATCTGGCCATGTGAAAGGCTCTGTATCCCATCAGCAACCTTCCCCCGAGCTGTCCAGTTCCCTAATCTGCACCATTAAAGACAGAAGTAGAAGTGAAGGATTTTGCTTCAGACTGATAGTGCTGACTAGATCTCTGGTTCACTGTACCTATTCTGATCTCACAACACCGATGTAACTCTGGAGTAACTATAACGGAGGACAGAATGAGAAGCTCTGGATCTAGCCCAGGAGGAGTAAGGGCTGTGTGAGTCAGGGCTGCGGGCAGGATTTCAGACTATTCAAGAGTCTCCCCTGCTTGCTGTCCAGCTTCCCCCAGGACCGTGCACTCCTTTCACTGGAATCTCAATGCTGTCATGGCACTGAGGTCAGAATGCTGAAATAAAGGAAGGGCCAGGTCCAATGGTCAATGTTTCTGGTGGTAACCCTTATACTCCTTCCTCAAATCAAGTCTTTGGCATGCATTCGCCATTGCATGCATCTCATTTGCCTTCAGACGGAGTGAGGTTAAAGAATTTGCATGTGGGAACTGTGGAAGTTTTGCCCCAGCAATTTCGCTGGTTAGGTCAGAACGTATGGAGTCAGCCAGCTATAGCTGGCACCTGTGTTTTTGTGCTGAAAGGCACTGAACTGATGGACCCCGCCTCCTTCCCCGCTCCTCCTCTAATCTTGGTTTAACACAACAGCACACACAGCTGTTAAAAGCTCACAATCAACCCAGAAAGGAAAGAGCTAAAGGCAAAGGGTTATTTTTCGTCAAGAAACAGCTTGGAGTGAAGTCAGAGAAGGACTTTGATCCTCAGGTGAGAGCATGCTGCAGCTTTAAACACAGTCTTTGGCAAACTCGCTTTTCTTTTCTGACTTTCCCCCCCACTTTTCCACCCTATTTTCAGGGGTAGAATTGCTGAAGCCCAGCTCTGTGCAGACGTTAGGAGGAGAGGAGGAGTATAAAATCCAAGCCCATTCCAGTGGTAAACTACTTTTTACTGGTTGGTTTGGGGGAAGTGAAGAGAGGCAATATGGCTTCAGTTTAAAAATCTCTCAGCCAGAAGTAATGTGTCTGCTCTAGCCAACTGGTCAATATGTTATTTGAATACACTGATCGCTGGAGAGGATAGGAGACCTTTGGATCTGGAAATCATACAGAAGGCAGCTAGGGAGGCACCGGAAAGGAGCAGCTCCTCAACCTCCCAAAGTGCAAGGATTCCCGTTGTGCTAGGTCCTTCCCTGGGACTCTAAAGGAGAGTAGGCTCCTTGTGCCACCCCTGTCACTGTCCCTTTGGAAAACTGGGGGCCAGATTCCCAGCGGGGCTGCAGCTGTAGAGTGCTGCTCCACCAGCACAAAGCAGCCATATAACCCAGCAAAATCCGGCAGTGAAACGTCCCCTGACGTGGAGGAATCCTCTTGTGGTACAGGGTGCCTCCTGCCCTGCACAACTCCCCCTTCCCCAGCACAGGAGGTGCAGCCTAGCAAAGAGGAGGCTTGGCCAGGACACTGTTGTGTCTGGCTGACAGTCTGGGATAGTCCTGCGTGGCCTCTGGAGAGGGGTGTAAGTTAGAGCAGCCTACAGGCTGCTCTAACCCACTTTCCAGTGGCCCCAAGATTGGACAAATGCTAAAGTGGTTTAAAGCCACCTTTGTCCCAATCTGATCCGACACCACACTGATCAAAAAGGGGTATCTTTAAAAATGTCAAAATATTTTAAAAGATCCCTCACAATATGCCAGGCTCATGCCAAGTTGCAGATAATAGTAAATATTTCCAAAGACCTGCAATATGCTACAGAGATATGCACAAAGAGGCATTTAGATTGCAGAGCCAAAACTCTGAAGGGAGCTGCTGGGTCTAATCTCTAACATGGTACGTTAGCAAACACCAGTGCGATTGCTGGCACTAGCAGGCTTAGAATTTAGACCTTAATCAGGAACGTTGTTATGTCAGCGAGCCAAGAACGTAAAGTCCCCTATTTATGAAACACAGGCTAGGATCCAAGTGGAAATAATCACAGTTAAAAAGGCAAATTGAAAATACCCCCCAGGCAGCATAATCCCTCCCAGTCCTGCCCCATCCCTGTTCCAGGTCCCCTTTCTTTACCAGACACACATCAACTAGCTGCATTTCTAGTTTTCTTTGTGCTGCTGCCCATAGGACCACCCTTTCTTCTCGCCCCCTCTGCCAGGCACAGCTGTCTGACAGCACCGGGTGCCTCGAGCCATGTCTCAGGAGCAGGAGGGCTGGGTCAAAAAGGAGGTGGCAACAAGGGGAGAATTTTAAAATTACTGCAAATTAGCAGTTGTAAAGCATGATCTGTTAAGTGCCGACGGCGTGTTCTCTACAAGACACAGATATGTGGTACTCCCAGTCTGGAAGAGCTTATGACATGAGAAACAGATAGACAAGCTGCATTGCAGGACCCAGAGTAAGGAGTAACTTTAGATAACTCAGCCTTGGCGAGAATTTTAGGTAGGCTTCATAAAATAAAATTTTACATTTCTGTAGGGGGACCTTTCACCATGAGAATCCCAATACGCTTCAAAAACCATGGGACATACATACATCTCCTTACTGAAGTGCAGAGACCGTTGGGGTGTGGAAGATAGCAGCTAGGCAGTCCTTACTCTGCAGGGAGAGGGCTCTTAAGTCTTCCAAAGATTTGTGGGTGTTTGGAATCTGGACCCGAGTCAGATGCATATAAAAGATTGGATGACTCGATGGAGCCTTTCACCCCAGATTGTAGGTTTATTTGCCTGGGTGAATTGGTTTGATAGTCTCAGTCTAATTCCCAGTGAACAGGTGTTTACACGTCAAAAATTATCATCAGCCCAATTGATTGATATATTTGGATCTATAAATGGAATCTCAGGAGTGGTTTCAGAGTCACCCATCCCCTTTTTTTAGGCTTGATCAAAGTTCCCATTCAAAGTCCTGTCAGACTCTCCAGGGGGATTCCGTTTTAACCCGGATAGTAATTGGTATGTAGAGCTGTCTCACTACTTCATGCCTGTACTTCTCATTATTCTTGACAGCTATTGATCTGGGGTCAGTAAGAGAGAGTGTAACCCCACGTGGTCATGCCCGGTGTCACATCATTGACTGTAATTGTCACTTTCATAAGGAATAAAGGAGAACAAACAAGTTAGGAAACTGCATTAAGTTTTTCCTCTTGTCAAGGCATCAGCTTAACTTGTATCTGCCTTTGCCTCCTTCCTAGAGTCTTTTTCCTTCAACCTTTTCCTTGGAAGGATGCAGCCTCAAGACATAGGTGTTCAGTACAGCAGGTGGAACGACAGTAGTCGTGATGAAGTCAGTGTGAACACATCCACTGCCGAGGTGTCGGGAAGTAAAAGGTGAGACCCCTGTGGCTCAGCTGTCTGACAGGTGTAGACTCAACAACACACACAAGAGGAACAGCTGTCCAGAACCGATTCCTCTTCCCAAGGTGTTCCTCCTGAGCTATGGAGGCTCCCTGCAGGCCCTCCTGCCCTTCTCCTTAGCCTTAGCAAGTCTGTCAACCTTTTATCCTTCTGTGCTGGAATTAAAGAAATCCACACGGTTTGACAGCCAATGGTCAGTCAGCAGAGTAGCCCTTCATCCACCATACATGGTCCTAGAAGCAGACACACAGTTCCCTAGGATCTACCAAGAGCATTTCTGCAAGGCCAACACAGATCACCTTCTGGAAGATAACTGAGTCAGATCTTCCAGGATTGTCTCTGTCTCAGTTTACCGAGCAGCGCAGGAACACACAAAGGTTCCAGTTGTACAGTGCCACGGGTGTCAGGGAGATAGTGCCTCAGTATTGATTTCAGGAATGGGAACCAAATTTGGAATTTTTAAAGCAGAGAAATTGGGCTCTATTCACAATCTAGCTGAAGTTACAGATACAACTGGCTGCCATGTTACTATTTGAAAAGCTAAGCTGTCTGTACACAATTCTAAAGAATTCCTTTTTTCTAGCAAATTGCAAACAGTGACTGAGTGGCTTAGAGCATCGTGATTCTTTCCCCCACTGACCCTCACTCATGGAAAGGAAGAGAAATATGGTCTCTCTCTCTCTCCCCCGGTGTAGACTCTGTAACAATAGTAACATTTATTTCTCTAACACCATTCACCCGAACGTGTTTTACAATAAACTAGAATCACTTCACTTGCCACTAAAACCAGCTGCCTCTGGCCGGACACAGCAATGCTACACAACAGTTCAGGGGGTGCAGTGAAGAATGTTGTGTTGAATTGAAGCTTCAGGGAAGGTTGAGGGGGACAAAGTTTAATTACTCCAGGTGGAATATGCCCTGCATTAGGGCTAAGATTTTGACTCTGAGGAGAGATGCTGTAGAATCTTCAGTGAGACCACAAGCGGTCAGACCCTGGGTTTTATATTTCATCCAAGAGATGGCACAGCCCTCACAGCCCCTTTCTGAGGGCAGCTGATCACTAGCCACCTACTGAATCACCAGCGCCACTCTGGTACCAACCTGGAGTTCGACAGCAGGTCTCCCAGTCAAATAGCAAACCGAGTCAGCTCTGCTTAGCTTGTTAATGCAGCCAGGATGTCCACTGACTACAGCTGTTCTTTATCCATGTTTATGTCCCCAGAATCTACACTAAGCTGTGCACTGGGAAAATCGGCATTGCAGTTAAAGTGATTGGAGGAAACATCCTCTTTTGGACGGTTTTTGTCATTGGCTACGTGACAGGTTACTATGTGCACAAGTGCAAGTAGAAGTAACAGTGAAATTCACCGGCAGGACCCCAGGCCTGGATATCTCTGGTGAGGTAATCCCAACCCTCCCTGTCCAGTTCCCACCCCCAATCAGGCAGTCAGCAAGCATGCATGCAAGATGCAGGAATCTTCACTATGTGTCGTATGAGCACCCAAAGGGAACCATCAGCATCAGGATTAGGGAGGTGCACAGAGCCAGTGCTAGATGCAGCACTTCTTGCTGCCTACGAGAGAACGGATTGTACAGTCTCAGCTGACGGCTCAACAAAGGCAAAGGAGGAACTCGAAATGGATGTGCTCTCCCTCATGGATCAGCAAAATGTGCTGTTTCCAAAATCTGTCACTGCTGCCAAAATGACCTGTATTGCAATGAGAACAGCTTCTTGGTCCTGCGGTTTCCATCCCTACCCCTTATGACACACCCATCAGCAGGGGATCTGGGTACCGGTTTTGCATGGGCATGTTTTCTATGAGCTTCTTAATGGCATCTGCATATCTCCTGGCACATCTGTATGCATGTGAAAACACCTGTTTTGTGAGCACATAATGGGTAGTTGTGTGAGCAAGCCTGTCACTGGGCACCCAACCTCTGTTTGTGCACCTGACTGCACATGCAGGGGACTTTAATCACAATTCCTTAGCAGTCACTGGAGCCCTTTGTTGATCACTGGGTCGACACACACACGCTTCTATTTGTCTATGACTTTTCCAGGGGCAAGGTGCTGCTCCCTTACATTTGGGATCTTTCTCTTTTCAAGCCCTTATTTCTACCCCACACTTTACTAGAGGCTGCGAGTGCAGTGCCTGGATTCACAGGACTTGCTGACCCAACCTTTGAAACTTCTTTATGCTCCATCAGTCACGTCAGCCAGGAAGATTAAAGGCTTTTGCACACAACTCCTCTACTAACTCCTCAGGAAGGCTGCATGCCAGCTCCCAGTGTAGTTGGGTTCATTATAAACCAGTTTGATGGGAATCTTTATTTTAATCAGCACCTCACTGGCTTCCCCCTGCAAAGGAACCTGTTGCTCCCTGTAATCATGTTAATATTTCCTTTAGACAGCTCTCTTCAAGGCCAGGGCTCTCACACAGCCTGTTTTATAGGATTTTCAAACTGTGCAGCAGGCATGCAAAGCTCTGTATATTTCTGCAACAGAGTCAAATAATTTTAAGCAATAAAAAGCAGATTTAAAGCCAACAGGCTGCCCATGTCTCTGATCAGTGCTGGAATATGCGTCTCAATGGAAAGGCATGTACAGGGGAGACCACTGAAGTGTATCTTGCTGTCTGGACTCGTTTCCTGTAACTGCAGCTTGAATAGGAAGTGTCACGGAAATCTACTCTTGGAGCAGCCTGGGACTGTACATTATGTATTTGGGGGTCAACTAATTGAAGGTCAAGGGCTCCCCCCAAAAAAAGTCTGGGTGGGATCCAGATTCCAACTCCACCCCACCCAAGGCAGAAAGATTTGAGCTCATACCTCTTCTAAACAATCCTGACAAGAATAATTCACCCCATCTGAGCACAGCCCCAGTTCCGATCCCGCAGGCAGGCCCCGCTGGTAGATCTCATCTAAGATGTGCATTGATGCTTTCCCAGCCACATGTGGGACTGTTGCCATGCACACACATGCAGCCTGTCCTGACACAACCAAGCAAAAGGGAGAGATTGATGCAGTTATTTCAGGGATTTAGTACACGAGCATTAGCCAGAGTTATGCAGATTCTGTTCTCTTCCCACCTGCCTGCCCCCCCCCCCTTCCTCCTTGCTCACAGCTGTTTGCAAACAAAATGGCAGTAGGCCTTTGTTCTCTTCATGTCATTTTTCATCAGCATATCCCTCTCTTCTTCCCCAGGAGGCAGGGTTCCCTCAGGTACATGCTGCCTTTCCTAACTTCTGCTTCGATCCCTCTCTTCTTCCCTCATTCCTCACTGGACTGCAGCCCAGGCAATGGAGCCTTTCGACAGGATGCTGAGACAACCCAGATCTGTGCTGGGGAAGGTCACACAAGGGAGAGGAAAAGCATTTGAGCAACCCTGTCAGCAGTAGTATCTATTGCTCTGGATGGACTGGCCCAGGATGCATCTGAAGGAGAGACAGGCCAGCCCCCAAATCTAACCGTCAGAGAAGCCACATTCGATAGCACAAACTGCAAACTAAAGCAGCACAGAGTTTTTTATTTACCAAGGGGTCTGGGTTTTTTTTTAAGTCACTGGTAAAGAACGAAAGCTGGTCAGCAGCCTTGGGGGCAGCAGATCAGGGCAGGAGCTCGGGAGACGCCAGGGTAACAAAAGGATGAGGCAAGGGAGGATTTTGGGTTTGATATTCATTGTACTCATTTCTCAACTTCCCCTGCTGCGACTACCCACAATTCCGTGTGTTTCCCTGAAATAGCTGCTGCATCCCTAGGCCACTCTTATGTAGGGCTCAGAATCCTGATTACGGTGGGGCTCTCCGGGAGCTGTGGAGGGTAAAGGCTGTTTAATAGACGGATTAAGCTCTCGGATCTCCAAGCAGCTCGTTCACCGGACTGCTTATCAGAGGAGAGTGATTCACCCCACCTGGGCTGTCTGGCAATCACTTCAGGGAGGGTAAACACCTCTGGGGTAGGTCGAACCTGGCAGTGTTGCCTCTTCTCCTGTTTACAATGGTATTGCTTAACTTTTCATCTTGGCTGTTAAAATAACTTTTCACCAGCTATCTCATGAGCAAAATACATTCCTGACCTAATCACCATGAGATCATCTGAGCAGAATGAAAGAAGCAAGCACAATTAAACCTGTCAGCCAGCAGAAAGCATATACAAAAGCTGACATTTCTCCTCTGGCAATAGCATTTACTAACCTGAATTAATGCTGGTTTCCTTGTTTGTCTTCAAATGTGGTGCTGCCTCTTTCCAAACACAGTCTGACACAGTTACTGGGGCCCTGAGTCGGTGCTTGTCCAAAGCGCTATCCCGAAGGGGCAGGAACCTGGTGTCCTCTGAGCAAGGCAGCAGCAGTGTCAACTTCCCCACACTGTGCAGCTGACACCCATCAGTCAGGGGTACTTCTAGGTCTGAGCAGAGTTCAGCCTCCACATCAATCCTGTGCTCTCTCCAACAGACCACAAACAAGGATGCTCATTGGTGCTGGATGCAATGGTAGTTTTGTGATGTGATCACCTGTCCCTCCTGGAACTGGGCTCAGACCCACCCAATTGGTTTCACACACAGGCTACCATGTGGTGGTAACTTTGGTTGCTGTTGACCTGGCTGAGATTTGAACCAAGCAATCTAGAGAAAAAAAGTTATCAGTAGAGGAGTGATTGCATTTTAAAACATTGTATGAGAGCACACCAAATCTTTGGTGTTGGAGATCATTGTTAGGAGAATTGATGTGTGGCAAATTGAGCCAGTTTCTTATCTTACACCTACATAAACTCAGAGTAATTCCACCCCAGTATCTAGCTAAGGTATTTATGTGCTGACCCCTGCTGTATCTCATGCCTGACAGTAATGATGTGTGGAAGCAATTGTGAAATACAGTTATCACTTAGCACACACTGGTCTCACTGATGTAACTTGTGCCAGTTTCTGGCACGTTGCTAGGGGCTGAAGCAGTTTTGCAGAGGAGGGAATATCACAGGCCAAGGTTCTGATGCAACCTTGACACCTACCTCTTGGTACAGCATAATGAGTGAGCAGTTTGGCCAAACCGGACTCTGATACCCTCATCCCACTTCCCCCACAGCTTCTGAATGCTAAGGCTTGTAGTTCTTGTTTGTTTTAGAAGGACACTTGTCAACCTATTTCCCTGGTCCAGAAACTTGCTGTAACCTTTTAGGAAACATGTCTCCTACATTTCAAACATCAATTTAAACAAAAAGAAAAAATAAGCAAAAATCCCATCTGTGCGCCAGTAAGCGAGTGTTGCTAATAACGATGGCTACTGTTGTGTGACAGGCCCATTCTTGGTAATGCCACACTATCCTGCTGAAAGATCATCTTCAATCTTGATTTCCACATACAGCAAGACATTTCCATCTAGAAACATAGTTCTAGTGCACCAATCACCATTGGTATGTTGGTCCAATTTCCTGAGCCCACTACGATATTATGTGTTTCACTGTGGATCATAGAATATCAGGGTTAGAAGGGACCTCGGGGGGTCATCTAGTCCAACCCCCTGCTCAAAGCAGGACCAATCCCCAGACAGATTTTTGCCCCAGATCCCTAAATGGCCCCCTCAAGGACTGAACTCACAACCCTGAGTTTAGCAGGTCAATGCTCAATCCACTGAGCTATCCCTCCCCCCTGGATATACTGGGCCAGCTCCTCATCTGGTACAGATCAGAGTAACGTTACTGACCTGAACAAAGCAATGCTGATTTATACCATACAGATCATTTTTTATCCCTCCCAAATCCTCCAGGTAGAGCTGAGGGGAATTATTTGTAATAAAATAACGGAGTCTGCCTCGGCTTCTCTTTGTGAATTGTCTGCAAAGAAATGGTGAAATGTGGCACTTTTGGTATCTGAAATTGCTTGTAAACTCTTGGGATTGTACATTATTGAACAGGTGCTAGTAGGGGTTTGCCAACTTTCACTGGGCTGGGGTAGTCACATGGTGTTGAGTCTGTTCCCTGATTGGATAATTTAACTAGCATCTTGGAGTGGAAAATCTGCAGGCTGGTCCCTCTCCCTGTTCAGCGCCTGGGTCTGGGGAGGAGCTCAGCATCCAGTGCACTGGGCTGCAGTATTTTTGCAGTGAGACTATAGCTGATTCCCAGCAAAGCTCCCACACCAGTGCACGATTGGGATGGTGGTGTCCTGCTCCGGTGTGGGGCTCCCCAGGGCAAAGCGGCTCCCGTTGACCTGCAGGAGCCAGTCCCAGATGTGCCGCATGCTGTCAGGGTCCAGCTGGGGGCTGGGCAGATCCGGCTCCCCTGCGACAGCCCTGCTCACCACTGCCTGGCCCCTTCCCTGGCCGGCAGGTGCAGGCAGTGCCCATGCTCTTCTTTCTGGCCAGGCTCCACCGACTCAGCCCCCATGTGCCTGGGGCACCTCCCCCAGCCGGCCGCCCCCACTCCCTGCTGAGCCCTGCAGGCGAGGCTCTGCCATGGGGCACCAGCCCAGCTGGCTCTGGGAGTCCCCGTTGCTTAGCAGGGACCTTCCTCCTCTGCTCCTGGGTCAGCCTGCCAGAACAGTCGTGCTTTCACTTACCGGCTGCTCCCACGGCAGAGCCGATCCCAGCTGCAAGGGGATGGGGTGAGGGCCAGAGTTTATAATGGGGGTGCTGAAAGCCAGCGAATTAAACTGTAACCCACAGGTGTTCAAAAGCAATGTGAAAAAGTGCAATTCCCGCTCACACCACAGCTTCGGGCTTCTGAACAATTGCAAAATGCTGCTAGGTTCATTCTGACAGCACCAGCAAACTTTTCACAGAGCAACTTGGGGTGCTGCAGCACCTGCCATGCCCCTAGGTCCCGTGCCCATGTGCTCTGCTCCTTCACTCAGCCGCCAGGCGTGAGGGAATATCTGCCATGGTCTTAAAAGAAACCACGCACACAGCTGCAGTTAGCCTAGGCTGTGAGAGGCCCCAAGCGTCAGCCCTCAGGGCACAGAAAGCAAACAGCAGGAATCCTGGCTCACTTTACAAGTGACCTGCACCAGTTTATTTTCCAAGCAGTAACAGAGCCCTGCAGCAGTGCTTAATTTGTGCTGGGGTGTGCCCAGACTCCTCTAGGCTTGGCCATACATATTGCCGTCAGTTATGAAAGTAAAAACACTGTTTGAGCCCTGGCACCTCTTTCATTACCCATTAAGCACTGCCCTCCAGGGTCTGCAACCTCCCCCGGAGCAGGCATTGAGAGCGTCTGCCAGGCTCAGCCTGACTCGGATTGCAAGTGAGGGAGAGAGGAAAGGGGGGGTAGTCAAACTTCACCTGCTCTGTCATTGCTACTTCGGTTTAGGAATGAAAAGGGCTTTGAGCAGCAGTAAAATGCATGAACAATTTATGGAATTTTCCATGCCCTGCATTTACTGGTTTAGAAGATGGTATTTTGTGAGGAAGGGAGTGGGTGGAACACCAAATTATCTTCTATAGAAAAACACTACATACCACATTCCCTATATTAAACTAGGCACTTGCCCAGTCAAAGCAACAGTTTCTGGAGGGTGGAGGTTAGAGCCCTACAGGGATACTAAATTTATATCTG